GATTCGAGACAAAAGCGAGGGAAAACGAAAACACAACAAAACGAAAAACACCGTTTTCAGCCATGCTCTCACACGCACACACACACACACTCTGGAGAACGTCAGCCGCTCTGACCCAAACAGCGACGCGCGAAGCGCGATACATTCGCAAGCCCCGCGGGCGACCTTGAGCACAGACTTGTTCGCGAGCCTCGGGTGCAGATGGGTGTGTCTCGCATGGCCGTCCTGGGCGGGTCCTGGTGAGTCCAACACCTAAGATTCTCTTTCTAGGGGCACTCCCGGAGACAATCGCTCCCCTCTTGCGTCAACGCTGCCTCGAAACTCCGTCGACTTGAGTCGAAATTGAATCGAACATGTATCACACTTGAATCGAGCTGCGCAGTCGAACTAGAGTCGAATTGAAGTCGAACGGATCAACGAGATGGGCCCCAGGCAGCCCCAAAAACGAGCACCCAAAACACCCAGGGGCAAAGGTGGTCGCCAGCCTTGCCGCATCGCTCGGGCGCCGCGGGGCCCTCCTCCTCCTGCTGCAAGAGGGAGGGCCGTGAAAGAGCGAGAAATGTTCATCGAAGTCCTGCTCGTCGGCCACAACACACGCACACGCACACACACACACACACACACATACACACACACACACACACACACACGTTTTTTGGCGTCGCTGCCCCGCGCGCGCGACGGGGCGTAGAAAGTGGAGCGCAAACGGCGGAACACGCGCGTTTACGCCCCGCCGAGCTCTCAGAGACAACTTGGGGTCCCGCAGCCGGCGGCAGCCATAATATACCATCTAGGCCTTGACGGCGGGGAGGGGCAATGAGCGGACGAGATTACGGTGAAGGGCAAGGTGACATAAGCCAATTGGGACTGGAAGGCTGGGAGAGCGAGTAGCCGAGAGTGACCGACAAAGGAGTCCGTAAAGGAGCGCCGGCGGAGAGCGAGCTGAAGGCGGCAGAGCCGCAAAAGACCGCAACCCTGAGGAGCCGCGAAAGCTGGCAGGAGCCGCAAGAGCCGGCAGGGCGGCGCGCCAGAAACGGCGGCGGCCGAGGGGCGGTCCCTGAAGGAGTGGCCCGGGACGGCCCCCAGATAGGGGGGCCGGGCGTGAAGGGGGGAGGGGAGAGGGAAGCGGAGGTAGACAGAAGGCGGAGACCGGCGGAGTGGTCCTGGAACCGCGGGGGGCACTGGGGTGGGACCGCAGCGGTGGCTCAGGGGCCGCAGCGGGGTGGGCTCTGCTGGGCAGGGACCGAGAAGGCCGCTTCGTTCCTGGCAAGAGGGCGCGCGAATATATATATATATATATATATATATATATTATATATATATATATATATATATGTATATATACCTATATACAAATAGATATATCTATATATATATATATATATATATATATATATATATATTGTTGTGACTCTGCTATGCCACGGTGGCTGCAGTCCTCTTGCTCTGCTACCTGCCAGGAGTGGCTCATGCAACATGCTACTAACTCTTGGGGGCCACCTGTGACAATTAATGCCCGGGCAACCTGGCCCCAGAGGAGACAAGAAAAAATGAAACTAAGTCGAATAACGCCAGCTCCGTGAAAAGTCCCTGGAAGTGCAAATGGGGCCGAGCGTATCCTCGAGATGTTCACGGGATCGGGCCTGCACTGCTAGCCTGACCGTTTGGATGGCGTGCGCCAGGGCCGAATTTCCATTGTGACGCTGTCTGCCGCTTCCGGGTGGAAAATGTAAGCATACATGAGAGGGGTGTGAGGGGGCTCAGCGGTCCTCAAAATCCATGCTGCTGCCGCGAACGCGGGGCCGGGGCGAAGCCGCCATCGGACCAGCAGAGGAGGTTAGAGCAGCGGAGGGAGGTGAGAAGGTTGGGGTCGGGACTCAGGTGGATACGACTGCTGCCCAAATCCATGGCCAAGTTGGCCAACCGGTCCGCTTCCTTATTCTTCTCTCGCGGTCGCCATACCACCGGATCCATGGAGTCCAAGGGCGGTCGCCATCCCAAGAGAAACAGCCCTGCCAGTAATTCGAGAGGATCCGTCAAGAGGGCCCTCGTGTCCGAATCCATCTTCGCAAGCCCCGTGCACCATCGAGCCAACAACTGGTTGTCTACGATGAATCGTAACCTCTTGCTCGGCGATTGCCAACTCCGATCGTCATCCTCTATGGCTGGAGCGATGTCTGCAAAAATCCTAACGTCCTTCGCGAAGAAAGGGAACTGCGGTAGAGAGACAAATGTATTCGGGCGTCGTCGTTTGGCTGCCGGGGAAACCTCGCAAGCAGACGGGACGGAAGCCGTAAGACAGCTCAACGGCGCCTCGTCGCCCATGGCCGCAATCTCTTGCTGGATCAGGCGTTGCCGCTTGGACGGGCCGTCTTCGCCGCGATCGCCCGTAGGGCGCTTCTGCACTGAGGGGCTGGGGCCCGCAGACTTCCCCACCCATTGCGGTAATCGCCATTCCTCGCAAGCCTTGGCGATCGTTCGAAGTCTGTTCATAGCTGCGCCCTGGGCGGCCGGGCGCACGGTACCTCCACTGTCCTTCCCGGTCCTCCCGGATCTCTTGCGAGTGAAGTTGCAGGATGCATCCCACCTGGCGTCTCTCTACACGGTCGTACTCCATCAAAGTCCGCAGCGGGTACTGTCCAGGTGCCCACTGGAAGTGGTACGCCTGCCACTGCCACCTGTGATAATTGCGTAAGATTTTATGGTGTCCCTGGCTGATCTGGCACTCCCTGCGTTTGTCCCCGATGTACCGGTCTGTTCTGCGATTTAAGATTTCATGCCCTCGGTCTCTGAGCGCCACTTTAACTTCCAGATCTTCCGTAAATGGCTCTTTTCCCATGCCTTGATCGCTCTCAGAAGCCCTTCGGCGGGTGTCCAAGCAGCGCTGTCGTACAGGGCGCTCGTAGTCGGACCACGTGCCATGGCCCTGGCTTGAGAGATGCGATTCGTGTGCGGGCTGTTGATGAGATTGCGAATGGCCCCAAGATTGGCCTCCGCCTTGAAACTGCGATGGCCCCATGCACGTGCCCACGAAGCCCGCCGAACGGGCACGGTCCCCAAAGCCTCCATCTCGTCCACAATCGGTATTGTCCAGTTGCGCGCGTCGTCATGCATTCCCTCGCGATTGAACCCTGGGATCTCGACTTGATTGGGAAAATCTCCGATGCCCGCGCCGGGCAGCATCTTGCAATCGGCTGTTTCGAGCTGCAGGCCAGCCATTTCCAGCACTCTCGACAACTGGGTAATCCTGGACGTCATCTGTTCGATCGAAGTCGCCACCACAAACAAGTTGTCAGCCCAGACCAAAAGGTTGAACATAACGTCGCTAAGACAAAAGCCTACGGCACCTAGCTTCCAGTCGAGGAGGAACGGGGCCAGCACGCAGTCCAAGAGGACGTTGAAAAGGAACGGCGTTTCCACCCCACCTTGGCGACCCCCTCGGGTGTAATCGAAGATTTCGGATATTCCCACTCCCTCGATTTCGATGCTCACTCGTAAGTGTCGTAGCTCCCGCATGATCACAGCGATGTTTTCGTCGGAGACGCCCCTGGCCCGAAGACTTAGAGGAAGTATGCGGTGAATCGACCAGCGCAGAATCCAAAGATCTTGCTTTCGAACGGGGCGGCCTGGCGCTACGCCAATTTGACGACCGACCGCAAGAACTACTTCTAGACGACAGGCGTTCTGCATATAAGCCGGAAGTCGGCGAAGGTCAAGATGCTTCTCTTTTTGGGTAGCCCAATCAGCTCAAGAAATGCCCCGTACTCCCCCTTCCCCAAACCGGTCTGGACGTAAATCTTGAAATCCATCCAAATCTCAATCAGAACAACGAAAGGCAAGAGGAGGAGCATCTCAGCCACGATTCCATCTTGGGCACCTGCGGAACCTGCCCGAAGACATGCACGACCATCGAGAACGTCGACGAACTTAAGGCCGCCCCCCCTGCAGTGACCCCGATACCCGTCGAGGCGCGACGAACGCGCAGCGGCCCCCAACCTGTGCTGCGCCTGTCTCGCCTCCGGCTCTGAAACAATATCTTCCTCGTAACGGTCTCCTCCGAAAACGCTTACAGCTCGACGCCAATGGGCTCTCTGAACATCACCCGGAGGGACGACGTACGAAGGAGGGAGCTGGAAGAGTTCGGGAAAACTGACGTTCGGGACCTGCTTGCGCCGGCCTGGTCGAGCTGCGCCCGGGCTCGGCGGCGACATCGTTGGCGCCGTAGTCGGCTATGCTGCTTTCTGACGTAGTTTGGTATTGGACACCCCTGTCGAGCCCCCTCCCGAAGCTGACGTCGAAGATTTTGCTCTTCCGGCGGGACTTGACGCCCTTGCCACTTCCGAATCCCCTGGGTGGTGTGAGGCATTGATGTCGCTACCCGCTGGATATCTTTTTCTAAGCTCCTCATGGTTCGGGGGTGCGCCACAGAATGAAAGTGCCCGTTGCCGTCCAAAGCCATGCCGACGCACAATCGCTTGAAACCATCGGCCGCAGCTGGACAGTCAGGCGCCCAACCTGTCAGACTAAAGTGCTTGGTGCGGTATTGCGTCACTGTGTTGGGGCTCCGGGTGGTGACGATGAGCACCCGGTGGCCCGACTTTGTCTTCAGGGTAACCTTGCATTTCTTGATCTCCACCGTGGAAGCGACGAAGTCGCTCGGAATGCCTATGTAGTCGATCTGTGACTTGCGCCCGCGTGTATCATGCCGTGTGTGGAGCTGTTGACGCGTAGGTGGCCCTCGTTCCCCAACACGTGGCTCTCCGCGAAAGTGGTGGGGACGTACACGCCGCGAGCTCGCAGAAAGTTGACAACTTGCCGCACGCGATCTGGAGGGTACTTGGAGCACGCTCCGATGGGTATCGTGCTGCCCGTGAGCCCGTCCAGCTTCGCAGGCAACGTGAGGTTGAAATCGCCTCCGATTATCCATCTTTGACGGCTGGTTGCCCATGTCTCCCATTGATGGCAGAGTTCGGAAAGGGATGTGAATGTATCTATCCACTGGGAGTTGGCCGCCCCGGCGGCCCCCGTCGGCATGTGGAGGGAGATGTATGCTGCGCCCCGCAGCTGGAGTGCACAAAACTGAGCATGGTGAAATTCCCGTAGAACTTCGCTGAACCAAGGCCTCGGGACGCAGATCCCGCAATCCCCGGTAGCTTCGGTAAAACACTGGAGTTTTCCGAAGGCGCCCCGCTCCCACGTTGGAATCTCCTGCAGCGTCAAGACGCTCTCCTTGAGCAACTTGCCCCACCTGCAGATGAGAGACCTCTGTAAGGATTTCGCCTTCTTCCTAAGGTTCGCACTGACCAGGACTATGCTTTTGATGTACTGAATTTCCCTTCCCTGGCGCCGTCACTTGCGCATGCGCAGCTCGATGGCCTCCTTCGTCCATCCTGCTTTCTCGATGCCCTGGAGGTCCCAGACGACGCCGGCGGTGCACGAGATGCCGCCGATGGTGACGTTCTGGCCCTCCACCTCCACCTTCACCGTCAGGGTCTTCTTCCAGTCGGCGGTCACGGTCAGCCCCTTTGCCTGCGCGAGCTCGGAGACCGCATCCGACAAGCTGCCGAACGCCTGGAACTTAGCGATGCGTTCCGGCGAGTTCTCCACGTTGATCTTTGGGTACTTGTTGGAGAGCTACAGGCTGTGGTTCGTCATGGTCTCCGTGATCGACTTCCTCCCTTCGGCCAGTAGCTCCGGAGGGCAAGCGACCTGGAATTTGAAGATATTATCTGGTACCTTCGCGCGGACGGGTCCCAGCTTGCCTGTGATGTGTCCTGGCAATTGAGCGTCCATCTGCTGCCACCAAGTCTGCACCGTCGCGATGGTCACCCCGAGCGACTCCCTCTGGTGGAACTCGCAGACCTTGATGTCCAAGTGCGACGCCACCCAGACACCCCCGCTGGCCGTAGACGATCCGCCCGACCTTGTCGCTGGTGAGGCAGATTGCTTGCTCTCCACCTCCGTGAGTCTCTGCTAGATGCTGGTGCAGCGCCTGTCCACCACCTCGAACTGTCCATCGACCCTCCTCATCTCCTCGGCCAGCAGATCGGACGACCGGGCGGTGAACAGATTCAGCATGATCCTATTCTGCTCAGTGAGCTGGCCCATCTGGGCCTCCTGCTCCGCCTGCCGGGCCCTCTTCCTCTCCGCCTCCCCAGAAGGCAGAGCCATCGCGAGAGTCGGGAAGATGTGTTAAGTAAGGAACTGAAAACTCGGCGCAGCCGCTCTACGAGGTTCCCGGCGGTGACCAGCCGACCGGCCAGAGAGTTCGTACTTTCCGGCCGGTCGGCTGGCCCGTCGGTGGCCTTGAGCCCGTGTGTATATATATATATACATATATATATAT